TCTATATTGTTACGATAAAACAACGTTTCATTTTAGCTGTTAGTGAATTAATCAGTCGTCATTGACGAAGGTCGGCCGTTTATGGCGATATTTAATTAATGCGCACGAGGCGACGCGATGTCGATGCGACGTCGACGCGACGCGACGGTTTCCTCGACCGCTTTGATTTACGTATCCTTGGACGATGTGTTAACGGCGACCTTCCGCAAATGGCGAGGCGTCAGTGAATCATCTATGTTTTGATATGGTTGTTGTCTGCAAACAATAGATGTCGCCCCCTTGCAACGATCGCGGGCGGTTTCGTTGTGTTCCTCAGTCGACGACCGCAACGCTTCCCGGCGCATTCCAGCCTCCTTCGTCACAGGGAGATTCATGCGAACGATATTCAAATAAAGCTTAGTAAGGTGCGGAATATTTTGACGTTCACTCTGAACTCTGTACTTTTTAACTTGTCCGAGATAAAGAGAAGCAGCCTATAACTTGGCATACATTTCATTTTAGGAAATCAATCTGGTAGTCCGTTTCGGCTCTTATAATTTTTGATATCGCTGGGTGCCCGACGCGGTGCGACGACGTCCGTTTTTCTTGTTTACAAATTAAGGTAATAACCGTAATACATAATGCCACAACCTTTTAAGTTCAACGCTCGCATTACGTGAGCGATGTTGCGCACACTAATTTGTTCTTTGCTGCGTCGATTTAAAAGCTCCGTACAAATATTATGAAAATCCGTGTGAATTATGCCTCGCACTACGGCCTTCACAATTCAGTTCCGGGGCGTTTAATGTCGTCGAAAAAAAAATGCGGCTCGTTCGCGGACAGTTAATTGTCGGCGAACCCGCAAATCACGACGCTCTCAGCACAATGTCTCGAGTGCGAATTCGCCACAATTATTCTGTCATCAACACGTCAATAAAAGATGAAGTGCGCGGGGTTTTGCATTTTCTGCATCCATTCCGATGAGGGAAATATTACTATAAATTGCTGCGAAATGACAAGCCTCAAGTAAGACGGGTCCCATATTTGAGCACGCTGCATTTTTGTTAACGCCCGGAATATTTTCCGACGATGTTCCATGTTTATGGCTTCCGAAACCGTAAGGGGCGGTTAAATTACGGCTATTAAATATGAGTTATCTATACGGAAACGTGTCGCATCGATATGCACAAGACATTTTTACGAGCAGTATAGGGCGAGCCAGAGCAACAGTTGTTGAGTCCAATCGCCGTCTTATGTGACTCTGGCTATACACAATCACCGATCTCATGGTCCAGACTATCTCTGACGGCGCGATTCTATCTGAAACAACAAGCGAACTAGTTCCCTATGTGCATGTCCAATGATCTTTTATGTTACACGATTAAGTTGTATATCTCTTCCCTTGATATGGCGCGGGTGTGCATGGCTAACATCTGTTTTTTATTGCTATTATACTATTCGTAATGTATGGATTGATTTGGTTGTACTTCACATGCCTATTATAATACTTTTAAAAGTTTCCTTTTTAATATTTTTTATTTAGAGGCCATCTCAATTACAAATACGTTAAAATATTATATAATTGCATAAAGTAATTACTGATACATTGGAAGTTGGATTATCAGCGTGACAGTGGCAGGCGAGGCCGCGGCATTCAGGTTCAGTCAGGCAACAAAGATGCTCGGCCCTGGCGGTCCGGCTGAGTGTCTCTGTGGTTTTATGTCACCTCGACTACACTCGACCCCCTTCCTTCCTTTGTAATACATTCACGATTTACAAATACGACGTAGACACGTAACACAGATTACACTAAATAAGCGGAAAAATTCGAAGCCTTTGCTAAAAAATCGTAAATACTGGATACAAGTACTGTAAGTTCATAAACCATTTATCATTTAGGACAAGTTAGATATATAGATCTTTTTACTCCGTATAGTTTACCATCCGTCTCAGCGATTCCGTTACAATGGTGATTAGATGTTGTTTCGGTTTGTAATTCTAGGTTGCGCAATAGAATTGGTGCATGTGATAGAGTGCAGGGTGGTGGGTGTGAGGTCATTGTATGTAACGGGCAGTGTCCCGGGTGCGCGATGTGGGATGAATTCTATTAGCCAGGTGCGCGCAGGACCACTGGTGACGCACTCTTGTTTACGACTATTTACGATCAGTTATAGAATGACCCATTTGTACATGTTTTTATTTTAAATTTGGTTTACCAGTACCCTTCAGACTCTGATCCTTGTTCAGATATAAAGCAGCTAGAAATTCGGTTTGAGTTAAGTACGTGATAAATTGATCTCGCACAATGTCGCATTTGTAAATGTAAAGCTATGTACATATTTAACGCCTTCGAAAGTAATCGCCTTGACATAACACGTTACGCTCACGGCGAGGTCTTAAATATCGAAATCGATGTTCATATGTCCTGTATTTGTTGTCGCGACCTTATTGCACGATCACGACTCGACGAAATGCTAATGCAAAGTCTCGGGGTAAAAGTTGTTTAGTTCTGAGGAATGCTGCGACAATTCATAAGAAGCGGTGCCATAATTGAATTGTTAATATTCTCAACGTGCATCGTGCCCGTCATTTCGCCGGACTCTTCCTAGAAAGCGAAGTGGCCCACATGATGCCTGCCGACCTCCACCGGATGTTATAATGCCGTCATATTAACCGTCCATTTTCACTTTTATAACGCTCGTTGCGACGAAATTGAAATTTTCCAAATTACTTATTGATGGTGGCAACGAACGCGAAAGTGCAGGCCCATCTCTCTCGACGTACGTAATCGTTACGCCCACATGATTCCTCATATCACGGGAATATTATTCAGTGGCGCCATCGAGAGATGAAACGTCAAAGATCTTAGAGTAAGTGAGTCTGGCAGCGCAGCGCAGTGCGATCGAACTCGTAAATACTAAGAGCACCCTCGAGCTATCTTTTTATAATCAGATGAATAAATGTTTTACCTTCGTCTTATCGTTGGTCCTTGTTGTTCTTTTAGTCTCGTCTAAATCATGTACGTGTAGAAACTGAAACAGCTTGTAGTTTAATAGTACAGTTTTCGATAATGAAAGCTTAGCGAACCTTAGAGATATTTACAACCATGTAAAGCTACTTAATAGCTCATTATAGAAAACGAAGCGGAAACATTTCAGTACGTTTACAAAATTGTAAATCAATGTAAACAGCGACTGCGAACTATCTCCATCAAGCTCGCTATAAATTTGCAGCGATGCCGATCGTAGCCCGGCTGCGACTGATTAATGAATGGGCAATTTTTAATTACAGCTTCTCTACCATGGGGGATAGAGGGAGAGTTTCAAGGAGTGCTTTCCTTGTCTTTCTAAATTATAAGGCTTAACCGAGGAGCTAATTGCATGTTTCCTATTGACATTAACCGTGGCTTTATCGTTTCGCTGTACAATGCACTGTCTTTTGTTTTGCTATCCCTTCTCTTACGTTTTGCTTGAGTAGTTGTAATAAAACGCTTTTTGTGATAAAGTCTTGGAGAATTATGCAGTAGAAATGATCGAAATCAATGATCTTTCTTCAAGTTCCACCCGAGTTTATTTTTATTTCGTTACATTTGAAGCAAATGGATTAACAATGTTGGTAAAATATCCTGAGGTAATAGTTCTAAAACGATTATTGTGTTCACTCGTAGTTAGTTGTCATTGAACGATGTTCTGTTGAGTTAATGTTTCCTACCAAACTAACAGCCGTGAACTCCACCGACATTGGCCTGTATCCAAGGTTCTATTGGACACTAAGTTATGTTGTAACTTTGAGATAAGCTAATGTATACGTTGATAATGTTATTATGACGTAAAAGTAATGTATCTCCAGATCTGGAATCTATAATTATTCAGTTGAATCATTGAGATCCTATGTGTGATTAGTTTCAGATTTTACAGTTTCAGAGTTTAGTTGCTGCTAGGTAAAGATATAAAAAAGAAATGCTAGTGTCTACAACGTACAAGTTATGTACCTATGATGCATATTTTGTTAAAACAAAGTTTCAGTTTTATTGAATACTAGCTGTCGCCCGAGACTCCGTCTGCGCGGAACTAAAAAAAACCTAATTAGTATCCTATCTGTTCTTCCAGACTATGTTCTACATCTATGAGATACATTGTTACAAATATCCTTCCATCTGTCCAAACATTCGGATTTATAATATTAGTAAGACAAGTGACTGTTATCGAAACAATCCCAACATAAACAGTTATAACATGTGTATGTCCGGTTGTCAATCAAATTTAACGATGTAGTAAAATTACTGCAATAAGATTTATAAATATTTCCGGAAGGCCAATTGAAATTTCGTATCTTAAGTGAAACACGTATTTATTTACTAGATTGCCATTAAAAGTAATCATTTCCGACGGTAGCTAAAGTTTGGTATGCGTGTGTGGGTTGAAAGAACATTCTCGATATTAAATAATTAATAATAATTAGGCAATTCTATGCAACTCTAATAAAATTGATTAGTCTCTTTGGTACGTGACAAGCAGTTTGACCAAGTCATTATTGCGGCCTTTTATTACATAGGGACGACATGGAGTTGGTAGCACGTCAAGTTTTATTTCGTGATGAGTATAAATCGAGAAACATTAGTAGGGGTGTATTAACTAGATGTAACAGAAATTAGAATTACCATGATTGCATTTCTCCAAAATATCTAAATGTGAGTTATGGATCATTATCGCGTCACCAAAGTTATCTTGTCACATTCGTTAACAAGTGAGACGCGAGCGAGTCGAGTTACATTTTAATCGATTTGACGCCGAATAAATTGCGGAACCTTGAACCGATTTCGCGTGTTAGTGTCCAAATATTGCATAATGTTCGAGGCTTGCTCGCCCACATTATTTTCACTTGAACACCGCTGCCTCATCGATGAGCTATAGATATTTCTATTAAGACATTATTTAATGTGAGAGATGAAATTGCACATGCTAAATATTACTTTATGTTTACACTAAGGAGATCTAATTTCTGTTTTTCTTTTTTTTCAGGTAAATCCATTATCAAGCAATAACCGAATTTTGCCATCATAGATAGTAGAATTGTAAGTAAAAAGTACTTTAATAGTTTGTTTTATATTATATTTCTTATAGATTACTGATCAACACGATTAAGTAACCAGAAATTATTAGCGACCGTAACCTCTGCACCATTGATAAATTATATTGCCAATTCTAAATATTAAAACCTGACCTCCTTTGCATAATAATAAATATTTTAAATAGTAATATGTGAGATATTTATATAATTTACGTAACAAATAAATGTTTAGAAATATTTCAAACATTTGCAAATATTTTAGTGTTATGTTAATTATGATGGTTGCAACTAAAATTATATAATGCAATAAAAAAATATCTTGTATATCGATACTTGTTTTCAATGTATACTGAAATGGAACTCAATATTATTAATAATTTGGAACACGACAGCATAATAATAAACATTATATACGTTTAGCGTAAATATAAAAACATTTTTTTTTAATAGCATTGGAATAGCGACCAGTGCAATAAATAAAAGTCTGCAACATAATCAAGTCAAATGCATGGAAATATCCATCATGCACCGGCGCATTGAAACGATGACAGCTGCTGAATGGACCGGTCGAGCGCTTCGCTCCGCAAGCGATCGGTCAAACTGCGACGGGTCCATTTAGTTCCTGCCATCTTTACGACAATCGCTCGCCATTGTGCCCTGCCTCGGCACGTTTCCGCACAATGAACTACGATCGAGCCTACAAAGCGGGGCGTAAGTTTTATTATCAATAACTATACGTCGAGGTGTAACGTTGTCGTCCGGAATGCAATATTGTCTAGTTCGGTTAGAGCGCGTGCTCTTAGTCGATAGCATCAGACGGTCGTACGGGCCTACCGACGTGACGTGCCGCATTCGATCGGCCTCAACAACAATCGGTATGCGCCCCGCGAAGTCTTCTCGAGCTGCTACAGATAACTTGAAAATAGTTCATAAACGAGATGGAGCGAGGCGGACTCGGCCGCGGGCTTCGAGCGTTTCTAAACCGGTGTTATTACATTTTCCTCAAAGATATGCATTTTAATATGGATTGCGGTAGTCTCGGAGCCGCCACGGGAGAGGCGCACCATTTCACCGTATTCGAATTACACGGCCGCGGTCGCCGGCTCTGATGTCGAACGCCAGCAATCCGACACCTTCCGACCGACTCTCACCTTTTACCAGTTGAAAATACAGAGCGGAACGCTTCCTCTTGTCCGCCGCATCTATGCACCGTTAGTATTGTATGCGGCGACGTGTGCGCCGTGTCGCAGTTCAGAGGGCATCCGCCGTCACGGCGTTGCCTTCTCACAATAGAAGCGAGAGTTACTCACCGCCGCCGGCGCGCTCTCCATAGATCACTATCACGCCTTTGAACCCCGAATACACTCATATGCCGACTTCCGAGATACGCGAATGCTTATGTTGCACTTTGTCTTATATCGAAACTTGCCAAGCGTAACTCATCTTAAATTGATGACCTGTAGCTCACGGCTAGCACGTTTGAAGCTGATATGTGAATCGGTTTGCAACTCAGCTCAATTTGTACCTGCATATAGTTATGATTTCCATTTTGTACTGCGAGCTGCGTGTCACGGGACAGTATGAGATAAAGCGCGCAGTCTGTTTCAATGAACCGCGAGGCACCAGTGCATGGTTGGTATAATTGCGAATCGTAAGGTGACTCGCGGCTCATCGGCTTTGTTATATTGCGTTAAACCGTGAGCTGACGATTTATGTCAAGTCTATGTGCCCCGAAATATAGAGCCAGTTCAAGTCTGATTTACCTAAATTTAGTCGAAACTTTTACAAACTATTTAAACAAACTTCGGATGCCCGAGAGATAAACATAACATTTATTACAGTCGACTGATATCAGATGTACCGAATTGAAGACACAATATAGAAACGTTTGCTTCCGGCGTAGCCCCTCCGGAAATCGGGCGTCAGTTATTTCTGTAGACGGTTAAACCACAACACTCTAATCGTAACCTCGAGTACAAAACTAAACCCCACGTTTAAATGCTCCGTGACCAATTATTTATTGTCTCGAATATGAGTCCCAATTATAGCTTTTTATCTTTTGATGTAGGCGTTGTGTTTTTTCGAGTAACCGAAATGTTTACGCTCCGAAAGTTCACCTTCGCCGTGTTTGGAGGCTGTGGACCTTCTTAAAAAAGACATGTTTTTCATGTGGGCGAACATATCGTCTTGTACAGTCTCCAGAAACTCTCGCCATCATGTCACTAAACAGGTTAACCTCTCCGATTCTAAATGTTAAGCTTTTAATTTGAATTTGCCTACCTAATGTTCAAGAGCAGTGTTAAATCATAATCGACCTGCAATAGAGATAATACTCAAGTTATTATCCACTTAAATATTATAAAGCATTTATGGATACATCTAAAGAAACGTTATTACTAGTTCCTGCAAAATACAGATCACGAAATATGCCTAGATGTCCCTTAACTCAACTTTATCACTGTCAAGACAACGTTAGATACTGCAGCATCAAAGACAAAGCCAAAGGATTTATCTAAGACTATGGAGGTGATTGATTATATCGTCGATGCATTCCGATCCATATTTATGAAGAAGTATTTACAACCGGTGCTCTCGAAACACATCCATATATTAATGTGGGCTACGGCGAGATTCCGTGATATTTAAAGTCGGGAGCGGCGCTGGCGCCCGCGGTGCATTCCAACGACCACCCTGCCAGCGCAGCGGTGCGAATGCTCCCGTTCCTTTAATGACTTACCGGGCTATGGGTGCGCCCCTTTCTACTATGTTATAATGCCAAATAGATTATGAGACTCCATCCCTATATAAATTTTGTCAAGTGTTGGGCCCAAACTTTTAGTCCAGAAGTCATCGTGATTATCAACTCTTAAAATTCACTTTTTTCACTTTGATTTTCTTATCTTGGATTTTTTTATTTGTAATTGTAAGGTTCTGTGTCAGTGGGTACTAGATCATAGCTCGTTTCCATTGTTGGACGTTTTCGTTGTTCATTTCTTACGTTACTAAATCTTTTCACCGAACACAATGGAGCCAGGCAGGCGGTGATTATTTCCAAGTGTCGGATATTTGCATGAGTCTGTCCGCTCGCAGCGCCCCCCATTCCTCGACCATTGTCTTCCACCATTTCAATGGCCGATAATAACTGAGCCTGAAGATTTTGTAAGTGGAACGAACGAAGCGTGGTTCTGATTTATACCAATGTCTGTTGTTTGCGGTCATTGGGCGTTTTACATCCATTTACTTTTTGGGTCAAAGTTGCAACATTAATGAGATTTTGATTTCGACTTAAAAAAAATATATTGTACACAATTTGGCCGAAAGGTGGCAAACACCGATATTTCGTGCGATTCAGAGAGGCCGGTTAGCTGATGTTCACATCTAAAATTGACTATCATCATTTTTAGTATATCACGTGTTAATTTTAGAAATTTTCCTTTGAGTAACGTACAGTTGAAATCTACTGGCCCTTTTGTTTTTTGATTCAATCGGCCGTTATTAAAATATACGAGCGGCTTGCAACAATAGGGCCGGCACTTAATGCATTAAGCTCTATGAGGCGGCTCTAATTCATCATTGGAGTAGCGCGCGGGGAACGGGGTCTAGTCAGTGACCCTGACCACTCTGGCGGTTAATCATTCTATTGTTGGTAATGATCTGCGATACAGCTATGCAGTTTAATTTAGACTGTTGCTTCATATATTTCGACTAAATTTGTAATTATTACAGCCCTTAAAGTTACACACTGCCCTAAAAAAATTGATGGTCCCACAAAACTAGGACACTACTCTTGTCGTTTGAACAAATCGTGGTCTTATAAAAAAGGTAATATAATTAAATATACAAATATACAGTTACCATTGTTAAAAACATAGTTGCAGGTGCATTCAAATTGTAGAGCGTCACGTATATAGGCGACTATATGACGTTTTCGTGACGCACAATTGTAAATTAGATAACGTTTGCCGAGTACGCGCCGAGCATTGCATTACCGTGCAGCGGACAATGTTTCGTCTTGTACACCCTTTTGATAGTTTCACACGAGGGCAGGACAGTAGGCAATACTGTTGTTTAAACGCACTGCGCATAAGTATTACAGTAATATTTTGATAGAAAATATGCGTTACCCAAATCCGGATTTGGGGTTAAGATTTACTTTAAAAATATAATTTTTACTTTTGTGTCTAAATTAATTTAAAAACATTTCTAACCTATATTTATTCATTACGAATTCATGAATTATATAAACCGGTTTTGATGTTGTATATTTAAATATCCAAGATTGAATATTCGCATCGGTAAGTATGTAATTAACTTAGCGGTATGTACCGTTTGATGGCTTACACCATCTGACATATTGCCCTAGGTGTAAAAGCTAGATGGTTGTATCGCAGTGCAGACGACTTTTGATCTAGAATTTATAACCAGACTAACTGACGCCAGTCTTCGTCCGCGTGGACTTAAAAAAAAATTAGTAACCTAGGTGTTCTTTCAGGTTATGTTCTACATCTATGCCAAATTTAGTGAGATCAGTGTAGGTGTTTAAGAGATACCTTCAAACAAACATCCATATCTAAACATTCGCATTTATAATATTAGTAAGATGACGAGCCTACGTATTCAACATTCTTTGTCTATGTCTGAATATTATTCATCGAGTCCTTCCTAATTCAGCAAACTCGTTAAAGAACGCTTTACCAAATTAGTATATTATTTTTATGTAACAAGTTTATGATTCATATATTTCCCGATATTTATATATCAGATAGATGTATTTCAATAAAGACCAAAGTGATTATGAAGATGACAAAATGTTTTATACGAATGTTTTGACGGAAGAAACCCTGAGGGAATTATCACTCCGTTTTTTTTTAGTTTTTGTAGTTAAGTAATAATTTTATGAAAATATTTACGGAACTCGATGCAACTAGCAACACTAACGAATCTTGCATTCCCGTCTCATTCTCAGCTTCCCGCCAATAATAATAATTTAGCGGTCTTTGCTTT